CAAACAAATATGTATAATTAAAAACAAAAAAAAAATATATATATATATATATATTTATTTCTTTCTTTTTCTATATATTTATATATATATATATTTATATATATAATTTTTTTTTAATCAAAACAGTTCTTTAAAAGTTTAAGATCCATAAAAGTTTATTTAAAAACAAATAAAAATTCTCTATATCCATATAAAAGTTTTTAAAAACAAAATTCAAGTTCTTTAGAACAACAAGGTTTTTTAAAATTAAATAAATGCCTTTTGTAACCAAATGAAGGTTCCTTAAAACCATCTTTAACACCAAACGGACGTTCTTCAATCAGCTGAGGAGATAAATATCACGTTTGCATTAGGAACTTTGACCCAATCTCTAGAACCATCTCCTGAATGTGGCCTCAGGTCGTTCTCTCGCAGTTTTTGGGAAAAGAAAGAATCTAAAATAAAACGGCTGCTGACAGGTTGTAAACGATGCAGCAGCATCTGGACTTTAACAGAACCAGAACCTTTGGATCTTCTTCAGTGTTTTGTTCAGATAAAACCCAGCAGGAGGTTTTCTGTGAGCTGCCTCCTAGGTTGATGTTACGAGGTTCTGCTGAGCTCCCTGTAATATAAGATGTTCTACACCTTCAGAACCAGAAGAACTCTTGCCTTGGAGTCATGTAAAAACCAGCTTCTGGCCCGTCAGAGCCCGATCAGAACTTAAGCTTTAGGTACTGTGACTGTGTGTCTGTGTGTTGTATGCCTTGTCTGGAGCCCGGGTGGTGGTGGGCGGTTCCTCCGGCCGATACCTCCTGGTGATTGGTCAGCTCCTCCTCCAGCTGCTGGGACTCCTCCCTGACGGCGGACAGGAAGTCGGCAGGCGACTGACGAGGGGGCGTGGTCTTCTCCACATGGTTATAGAGGCCCTTCCACATCCTGCAGAACACAAACATCTACAGTTTTCATCTTTGACACGTTTCGTTCTTCTCTGTCTCAGAACCAGGACCCAGGTCTTTCTGAAGTGTTGTTGTTTTTGCTGCAGTTCCTCACTTGAAGCAGTAGGGGGTGGTGTTGGGCCTCAGGACACCCCGGGTCTGGCTCAGCTCTGCCTGGAACAGTGGGTTGGTGTACTCCGCCCGATCCTTCCACAGCTGAGGCCACACGGAGTGACAGCGCTGACGAAGCCTGCGGAGCCACAACAAACAAACATGGGATGTTTATTTTTTTATTTACTCTGTCATAAAATGTGAAAATCTCCCTAAAAGTGATAAAAAAAAAAGTGATAAAACTAACAGACGGGTCAGGAGGCATAAAAGGGAAAAAACAGAACTGTGATGTTTTACTTTGAATAGTTAGGAAGCATTTACACAGTTTGCCTTCTTCAGCTATCCCAGAATGCACCATCCCTCAGACAGGAAGTATTTCTTGTATTTTATCCTTGTCTGTCCCCGAACGCACCATCCCTCAGACAGCAAAAGTATTTCCTATTTTTTTCTCTTCGTCTGTCCCTGAATGCACCATCCCTCAGGCAAGAAGTAGTTCCTGTTTTGTCTTCTCATCTGTCCCTGAACGCACCATCTCTCAGACAGGAAGTAGTTCCTGTTTTTTCCTCAGGCAGGAAGTATTTCCTATATTTTTGCCTCATCTGTCCCTGAACGCACCATCCCTCAGACACACTGAGCTCATATTAGGGACTGAGCATGTTACCATATTTTAGATTTTTTTTTTTAAAGAATGAGAAAAGTGTGGATTTTAGCGTACATTCTAGTTTCTGTATTTCTACGTGTAGAAAAGTCAGTAAAGTTATTTAGTGAAGTTCAGCTGTGTGAAATCTTTGTGGTAAAATAATATTGTTGTGGTTATTTTAAGGAAGAAATAAAGTAAACGTATTGTTTCTATTTAAATTTGTCATGGTAGTTTAATTACTAATGCTTAAGTTTACGTGGCGTCATTGAATGCATCGTCAAGTCTTGGGGAAGGGGGGTGGTGTTTAATGCTTGAATTTAAGGGATTCTCTCTGTTTTTAGACACAATTAGGTCAAATTCTTCTTCCTGTCGAATCTCTTGGTTCTGTTTTAGCAGGAGTAAACGGGTCGACCCGGGTTAGGTGTCCAGGTGAGACCAGACCAGGTGACTTGGTGGTGCGTTCAAGGAGCAGCATGGACAGACAAACTACTAATAACCTGTGGTCCTGTGACCCGGTTAGAGCTGGTCTCTGGGTTTACCCGCACCTCATGTCCCGGCGCTCCTTCTCACAGTTCCCCAGGAAGGTGCCGTACTGACACGAGTACACGTGGGTGCGCACGGCAACGAGGAAGCGCTCGTTGAACTCGAAGGCACACGGGAACTGCTCCGAGAGCTGCCACACACACTCCAGGAACTGGTCCAAGACGGGGGACACCTCTTTGGGATCCCCGTCCAGGTGAGCATACCTGTGGAGCAGAACTTCCTGTTGACTGATGGTCCAAACAAACAGAACCAAACAGACAGAACCAAACAAACAGAACCAAACAGACGGAACCAAACAAACAGAACCAAAAAGACAGAACCAAACAAACAGAACCAAACTTCTATTCTCCCTCCAGTGGAAACTGCAGAGCTTTTGTCAGTTTCAGTTTGTTCTGGTTCTGTTCTAGTTCTGTTCTGGACCCACAGAACCACATAGAAAATCAAAGAAGCGGTTCGTTTATCTGGCTAGGGTCAGATTTCAGGAACAGCTCGAGGAACCAACTGGACCCAAAGTTGATCTGAAGGTTCTTCTCTCCAGTTTTTATGATTTAATCTGAAGACGTGGTTCTGATCCACTTAATGTTTTGATTGATTTGTGGATTGAATGGAAATGAAACGTTGAACGATCAGAACCTGCTGAGACCGAACATGATGCAGAGACAACAGGAAGTATTTATCTGATCCACTGACCTGTGGGAGAACTTGTGTCCAAATGAAACCCAGTCCCTCTCTATCAGAACCTGGAGGACGAGCAGACGGTCAGGAGGACACCTGTCTGTGTGTGTGTGTCTCATTGTGTGTCTGTGTGTTACCATGAGTCCTCGGATGGTTCTGTAGAACGGGTCCAGCAGGATGCTGGCCACAGAGCAGGCCTGGGCTGTCCGGTCCCATCCATCTGAGCAGTGGACCAGAACACTGACTCCTTCATCAGCCACCGCCTGGACACAAACACCACATCAGATCCAGAACCTCAGCCCACCTGGACACAGACCCTATCAGAACCAGCACTGCTCCGTGTTCTGTAACAGACCCAGACTGGACTCTGAGGTCGGTTCTGGTCGGGAACCTCAGACTTCTGGGCTGAACTTGCTTTTGTTGACGGATGTTTCAGATGATTTCTCTGACTTGAAATCTTAACTTCTGAGTACAAGTGGAACGCATCAATGTTTCTTCCAGAAAGTTCTGGGTCTGTCCCGGGGTCTCCTCCCAGTGGGACGTGTCCAGGAAACTTCCAGAACGAGGAGACTCCTGGACAGTTACAGATTTTCTGCCTGCCTGTTTGAAAAACACAACGCTCCTAAAGTTTGATCAGGACTGTAAGAACTCTGCCTCCGGTCTGTAATGAAGCAGCTCGTGGTTCTGGACCTACAGAGAGCTGGTCCTTCTGGACCAGAACTGTGTCACACTGAAGTCCCACTAACCTTGGCGATGAAGACTCCAGCGTCCAGAATGGCTTTGATGTGTTTGAGCCAACCAGAGTTCTCCAAACCCCACAGGAAGTCGGTCATGGATGGAGAACGCATGTCGCCAACTGCAGAAGAAGAAGAGGAACGTTACGTCATCCAGCCCACGTTCTTTACGTTCTCCTTTTAAACATCGGATCCAGACGGACTGACCGTCGACGACCCTCTGCTGGCTGCTCCTCATCACGTGGATGTTCTCGATGCCGATGAACTGCAGCTTGATGTTGCTGTAGTGGTCCTCGTTCTCGTAACCTTTCCCTGCTGCTCTGTTTGCCATGGCGTTCAGCTGCGCGCGCACACACACACACACACACACACACACACCACTGTTAGCATCACCCTCCGTGTGTGTGTGTGTGTGTGTGCAGGTGTGTGTGTTACTTTGGGCCGGGTGTCGACCACATAGATGAATTCACTTCCAGGGTTGGACTTCATCACAGCCTGCAGCATCATCTCGTCCTCCTGACAGCGGGCGCTGAAGCCCGACAGAGGCTGACTGCATCGACACACGGCCGCCTGCAGACCAACAACAACCATCATCCTCGTCCTCAGAGAGTGTGTGCATGTGTGCGTGTGTGTCAATGAGGCCCCGGCACTGACCAGTGTGTCCTGGTGGAAGAAGGATAGAACAGGAAACCGTCCTCGGCTCCTGAACCTGGAGCTGCCCACGATGACGGCGGGCGTGGCCGTCTTTGGAACAAAGAGCTCAGAGGGATATGTGTCACACACCTGCAAGACACACACACACACACACACAGGTTTGTTTTGCTATCTTTGTGGGGCCTTTGCATTGACTTCCATTCATTTTTCATTCATTTCTATAGCCTAACCATGACCTTTATCCATAACCTAACCATTACCAGTACATACCTAACCCTAAACCTAACACATCCTCAATTCACACCTTAGTCCTAAACCTAGCCCCTAACCCACCAACGGGACTTCTTCTTATGGGGCCCGGGCTTTGGGCCCCATAAGGAGCAGTTGGTCCTCACAATGTAGTATAAGTTGGAAAAATGGGCCTCACAAAGTAGCATAAACAAGGACACACACACACACACACACACTCAGGTTGTGGGTTTTTCTACAATCTTCACACTTTGGAACATCAAGAACCTGTTCAAGTCATAAAACATAAAGAGCCGGTTTTAAGCTGGACTTTCAAAATAAAATCATAGATGTTTTCCACAATAAGAGCCTGACTCCTTCAAAGGAAGTCCTGAAAGCTGGTGGATGCTGGAGTTCATCACGTCTGCAGGTTTTCACCTACAGAAATCACTGCTGTCAAACTAGATCAATATTTAAATGCACTTTTCAGCCACACAGAACATCCGGAGGTGGGCCTTTTTTATTTAGTTTTATTTACCCTTTATTTAGACAGGAAGTCTCATTGAGCCACGAGAACTCATTTTCAAGAGAGTCCTGTTTTGGGGAGGAGATGGGGATTAAGGGCCTTGCTCAGGGGCCCAGAGCAGGGCGAATGAGGGTGGAGGCAGGTGTGGGTGTTCCACCTTTTCCACCCACATTTTGATGTTGACGGTACCGGGAGTTGAACCTGCGACTTTTCGATCACAGGCCCATCTTCTAACCTCTTGCGCCACCACTCCCCCAAGTCCAGTTCTGTTCTTTACTGAACAGAACCAGCAGAACCATTTATGGACAGAACCACCGGAGGGACGGTTAGAGCACCTCAGAGTCTGACCCAGTTGGACACTGACCCGGTACTCGCTGTTGGCTGCTGTTAGGACCCACAGGTTGTTGGGGACCCCCATCCTCCTGTAGTCTTCCATCAGGTCCATGAAGGTCCAGGACTCCTCTCGCTCCTCTTTGTTCACGTTGGGGTTAAAGGACAGACAGAAGAGCTCGCTGAACTTCTCTGAGGAGGAAGATCAGAGTCAGTGATGGGGTCCACATCCTGTTTAAAGTCCTGATCATAAACAAACACACACCTGGTCGAGACAGACGGACCAGCGAGGCGTGGACGTCCAGACAGTCTCTCTCCTGGGGGACGAGGACTTGGAAGACTCGGAAGTCCTTACAGCGAAGGATCAGCTGACTTCCTGAAGGCGTGGTGGGTGGCCTCTCCACACTGCTCACCATGCTGTGCAGCACCTGAGACAGACAGACAGACAGACAGGCAGACAGACAGGCAGACAGATTTTGGGTCATGTGATCAGAGGAAACATGGCATCATGCTAACTTCTTGCAGCAGACAGACACTTAAAGCTTTTTCAGCTGTAGTTGAGCTCCCTCGTTCCTCCTGGTTCAGCCAGAATCTGCAGAGAGGAATCTGACACCAGAGGAGGTGCTCAGGTCCAGAGGGAGGAGGTCCACTCCTCAACCCTGCTCCTGCAGATTAAGGAGGGGTGGGAGGCTGTGTCCCCTCCTGTGGCAGCAAACAAACTCCTGCTGTCTCGTTTTTTTAACGACAGGTTTTCTCTCCTGAACTCGCTCCCTTGTTGTCCTCCCTCTGATGTGAGACGGAAGAGGAGGAGGTGAGGAGGAGGTGTAAAGAGGACAGATAAAAAGTGTTGAACAGAAAGAGATGCATTATTTAAACAACTATTAGATAAATAGGAAATGTTCACTTCATCCAGACATTATAGCAGCAGTTCCTTCTGCATCCTCCTCTCTCCTCCTGCAGCCTTCTTTCTCCTCCGGCATCCTCCTCCTGCATCCTCCTCTCTCCTCCTGCATCTTCCTCTCTCCTCCTGCATCTTCCTCTCTCCTCCTGCATCTTCCTCTCTCCTCCTGCATCTTCCTCTCTCCTCCATTTAGGAGGTACTTCTGACATTAGTTTTCAGATCTATCAGAGCGGAGTCATCAGGAGTCCAGACTAACTCCTCCCCCTGATGACATCATTCAGGTCAGAGAGCGTCCACGTGGACCGTCCACACACGTCACTTCACTTCTTCTTTTTCTTTTGGCTTTTCCTTCTTCTGGGCTCTTCACAGCGAGCCATCCTGCTCCATCTCACTCTGTCCTCTGTCCTCACTCCAACCACCTCCATGTCCTCTCTAACTGCATCCATGTATCTCCTCTTTGTCTTTTCACACACCTCAGTTAGAAACGTGGACACAGACGATCAGAGGTGAGCCCGAAGAGCTGCAGAACGTTTTCTAAACTGAAAAATAGAATCTCTTCTTGTTTGCTGAGAAAACGATGAAGGAAATAAAAACTGATCGTGTTGATTGATCACATGATCAGAACTGATTTGGCGTTTAAACCAAGTCAGAAAACGTGATTTCATTCAAATGTGACAGAACCTCGACTCCTGTCTCCTGTCCTCAAAGTTGTTTTCTTGAACTCTGACGAGTTTCTTCTGGTTTTATTGTTTAAAACGTAGAAACTTTGATTCCTCTCAGATCCGTCCAGTTTCAGGACCTGAGGGTCGAAACGGATCTTCATTCATGTTTCATTATTTCTAACAAGATCCTTTTCCTTCAGAGACATGCCAACATAAAATCAGCCTGAAAGTTTTATTTTGTAAATATTTTCTGGGAATTTCAGGGGGATATTTGGAGGTCCGTTTATCAGAACCTGAGTCAGAGGACGGTCTGAATGAGTCCAGCTGTCTTACCCACGTCTCCTTGCGTGTCTCAGGGTTGTTCTCTACGAAGATGGTGTGTGTGGCAGACAGGTAGAGGGTCCCGACCGTGGCTTTCCTCTGACCCAAGGACCGGTCCAGAAGACGGACATTTTCCACCTGGAAAGGGACAAAAACCACAAACCATCATCAGCAGACCAGCAGAATATTAGTCATGATTCTCAGCAGGTTTAGACCAGAAGTCTGGACTCTGGATCCAGTTCACCAGAGTTCTGGACTCTGGACCCGATTCACCAGAGGTCTGGACCCAGTTCACCAAAGGTCTGGACTCTGGACCCAGTTCACCAGAGGTCTGGACTCTGGATCCGGTTCACCAGAGGTCTGGACCTGATTCACCAAAGGTCTGAATTCTGCACCCGGTTCACCAGAGGTCTGAATTCTGGACCTGGTTCACCAGAGGTCTGGACACAGTTCACCAGAGGTCTGGACTCTGGACCTAGTTCACCAGAGGTCTGGACTCTGGACCCAGTTCACCAGAGGTCTGGACTCTGGACCCAGTTCACCAGAGGTCTGGACTCTGGATCCGGTTCACCAGAGGTCTGGACCTGGTTCACCAAAGGTCTGAATTCTGCACCCGGTTCACCAGAGGTCTGAATTCTGGAACCAGTTAACCAGAGGTCTGAATTCTGGACCTGGTTCATCAGAGGTCTGGACTCTGGATCCGGTTCAGCAGAAGTCTGGGCTCTGGATCTGGTTCGCTTTGAAGTTAAGTCAACTTTATTTATAAAGCACATTTAAAACAGCTGCTGTTACCAAAGTGCTTAACAATAAAATCAAGGCAGTAATTTAAAGAAAAATAAGAACAAAAATTAATTAAAAGCATCAAAAGAGAGTGGTGAAGGCTGCACAGAAGTACGTTGGAGTCAGCCTCCCCACCATCACAGACATCTACACCTCCAGATGCAGAAAAAGGCCCACCTGCATCATGAAGGACCCCACTCACCCAGCACACACACTTTTTGCCCCGCTCCCCTCAGGACAAAGGTTAAGGAGCATTAAGTGTAGAACCACTAGACTGAGGAACAGCTTCTACCCTGAGGCTGTTAGACTCATGAATCTCTAACCAGAATAATCATTGTGGAAAAATCACATCATGTTGCTGCTGATCTGTTTCATGTTGCTGCTGATCTGTTTCATGTTGCTGCTGATCTGTTTCATGTTGCTGCTGATCTGTTTCATGTTGCTGTGTTCATTCGTACTCATCTGCTCACATAGGCTCATGTTCGTGCTGCTGTTCGACGTATTGTGTTTTTTTATGCTACTAGTGCTTAGTGTGATTTTAGTTAACATTTTTCTTAGTTCATATCTTAAATCTTATGTTTTTCTTTTACATTTTAATACTTTTTTGGATGTAACTTGGACCCTGTGTACACAATTTCTTTCCACCACATGTACCACATGTGGTGCGAATGACAAATAAAGAACCTTAAATCCTTGAATCCTTGAAAAGAAAACTATAAAAACACAAAACAATAAAATACTAAATCAAATCCCACTGTGTTAAAAGCCAGTGAAGGCAGGTGCATTTAAAAGAGATTTAAAAACAGGAAGTAAAGGGGCCTGTCTGTCTGTGGCCTGTGTGTCTGAAGTGCCTGGTTCTCATCTCCCGAACATAAATTAAGAAGATTATGGATTTGGTATCGTGGGCGTTCAACTCTATTGATGAGATTTTTTCATCAAAGGAGAACCGGCGTGTCCAGCTGAGACTCACGCTGTGGGGTACGTCATGGATTCGTGGGGATTGTGGCAGATGATGTGTCTCTCAGTTCTGTCTCAGGAGGATGTTGAAGACGTTTACATATTTGGAATTATGATAGCAGGGATTCTGCTTTTTGGCATCGGCGGGGCTCTGTTTTATCGACTTTTGAAGAAGACACCGGCAGTAGTTTCGGCCATGGAAAAGCTTCTGAGTCAGTGTGAAGGTTTGGTCCGTGCAGTAGGAAATTTAAATCGTCTAGTTTACGAGCTTAACTGCAAGGTGGAGGCGATTTATGAGAATTGCAGGCCACCTGCGGCTTCTGGGACTCATCAGCATGGTGGGTTCGACCTTGAAGGAGACTCATCGCATGGATCAGTGGAACGGAATCCCACAATTAGGCATTTTCAGAACCAGAACGCCCAAATGGACTCAAGGCTGGAAAAAAGTAATCTCTGCCTGAAGAAAAACAAGAATCTTATTCTATCTCTAATTAAACCTAAAATCAGAGTCAAAAACCATCCAGAGATTTGTAACAGACTGCTTAAGATATGTCTGAAAAGAGTCAAGATTTACAGGAACAGAGACCACAGTAGAGCTAGGACTAAACACAATAACTTCAGTTTTCTGATCGCTACAACTTATAAAATTTGAAGCCATCCGCGCCTTAATGTCATCAAGACATTTTTAGAGTCTGAATACAGCAAGAACTATTGGGTTTTAAAGGCAAATAAATCTGACAATCATCAGCATAACAGTTAAAAGAAAGTCCATGTTTCCTCAGGATAGACCCCAAAGGGAGCAGATACGGTGAAAAAAGAACGGGTCCAAGAATTGAGCCCTGTGGAACCCCGCAGGAAAGAGGTGCTGAAGTAGATGAAATATTATCAACCTTAACACAAAAGCTCCTGTCACTCAGATAAGAACAGAACCATTCTAATGCTGCACCTGTAATCCCAACCCAGTGTACCGCAACATAAGGTGTTCAACAGTATCAAAAGCAGCGGTAAGGTCCAGGGGTACAAGGATCACAAGTGGACCAGAGTCTTTCGCTTAAAGAATGTTTTAATAAACCTTCAGTAAAGCTGTTTTGGTGCAGTGTAATTGTTTAAAACCAGACTAAAAGATCTAAAAAAATTTTTTTTAAATCCATTCTCATTCAAAAACTCATTTAATTGAATAAAGACTGGATCTCTACATCCGCTTTGTGGACTTGGAGAAGGCGTTCGACCGCGTCCCTCGGGGAACCCTGTGGGGGGTACTCTGGGAGTATGGGGTACCAGGCCCTTTGATACGGGCTGTTAGGTCCCTGTATGACCGGTGTTAGAGCCTGGTCCGCATTGCCGGCAGTAAGTCGGGCTCGTTCCTGGTGAGAGTTGGACTCCGCCAAGGTAGTCCTTTGTCATCGATTCTGTTCATAACTTTTATGGACAGAATTTCTAGGTGCAGCCAAGGTGTTGAGGGGATCCGTTTTGGTGGCCTTAGGATTGCGTCTCTGCTTTTTGCAGATGATGTGGTCCTGTTGGCTTCAGCAGATCGTGATCTACAGCTTTCGCTGGAGCAGTTCGCAGCCGAGTGCAACACAGCTGGGATGAAGATCAGTTCCTCCAAATCCAAGGCCATGGTCTTGAGCCGGAAAAGGGTAGAGTGCCCTCTCCGGGTCAGGGAGGAGGCCCTGCCCCAAGTGGGGGAGTTTACATATCTTGGGGTCTTGTTCATGAATGAGGGAAAAATGGCACGTGAGATTGATAGGCGGACAGGTGCAGCGTCAGCAGTGAAGCGGGCGCTGTACAGGTCTGTAGTGGTGAAGAGAGAGCCGAGTCAAAAGGCGAAGCTCTCAATTTACCCATCGATCTACGTTCCTACCCTCATCTATGGTCATGAGCTTTGGGTTGTGACCGAAACAACGAGATCTCGGATACAAGCGGCCGAAATGAGTTTTCTCTGCAGGGTGTCTGGGCTCTCCCTTAGAGATAGGGTGAGAAGCTCGATCATTCGGGAGGGACTCAGAGTAGAGCCGCTGCTTCTCCACGTCTAGAGGAGCCAGTTGAGGTGGCTCGGGCATCTGGTTAGGATGCCTCCTGGACGCCTCCCTGGTGAGGTGTTCCGGACACGTCCCACCGGCCTGGGAACGCCTCGGGATTCCCCTGGAGGAGCTGGACCAAGTGGCTGGGGAGAGGGAAGTCTGGGCCTCCCTGCTGCTACCCCCGCGACCCGACCCCGGATAAGCGGAAGAAAATGGATGGATGGATGGAAGACTGGATCTCTCTGAACCATCAGATCCTGATAACCTGTTTTTTGGAGGTTAAACCTGCTGCTTCATCATGTTGGTACAGTATGGTCACTCTTCATCCGTGATGATGTCATAACCGAGATCGTAGAATGCATTTCTGAGTGCGCATGCGCCATGTGTTTACCGTTACACCTGAGGTGGTGGTGGGGGGTGTCACCTGGTGAGTCCATTTTCGGACAGGCAGGGGATCGCTATGGAAAGTCTTCTGTCCCGTTTAAAACACATTTCCGTCAAATTATCAGATTTCAGAGACACCGGAAGATGTCCACCTTTAACGGATTTGGGTCTAAATGAATACATTTTACCGACGGGAACAAACAGATGGAAGGGGAAGTGAAAAATGAGCTGTTAAATGACGTTAAAACAGAAAAACAGAGGTGGCCAAACGTGTGTTACTTTGTGTTACCTTGGGAGTCCGGATGTTCTCCATCACCGGAGACTAAAATGGTGGAGGAGAGACGGAGAACGACCCGACCGATCGGCGGTTAAATCCCCGGATTCACGCCGAGGAGCGAGATGTGTTCTCCGCGGCTGCTGTTCCGGTGCTGCTCGAGGAGGATGCCCATGATTTCCAAGCCTCTGTTCGGATAAACTAGGTTTATAAAAATTAAAAAAAAGACCCGGTTTCTCCTGTACCGTCAGTACCCACCGGCCCGTTACAGTCTCCGCTGATGGACACCGTTCTTAGTTGCTATCATGTTAGCAGCAACCGTTGCAAAGCTAACATCCGGTTAGCGTTTTTAAAATAAGTTTAATATAAAAATGTACACGTTCCCGGATGCTAATACCAGGGGCATAACATCTAAAACTGGGTGAGTAAAATTTTAAAATAGACTCAAACATTGTGGATATAATAATCTGACAAGTTATTTAACATATTCTTCATTATTGCGTTCATTAAAGTTTATTTTGGAAATATTAACCGGAAGCTATATTGATTTTGTTAAACTTTGTTCCGGTTCAAGGCTTGAACCAATCTTCATTCAAACCTGCACATACGCTCAAATAAAAATATAAGTGTAATGTTTTAAACTTCCAATAGATATAAACTAACTATCAGACACAAAATCTTTGCTTTAAAACACAATTATGTCCTCTGACTTTTATTAAAAGTCGTTTTATGTTGCAGTTGTTCTCTTTTCTTTAAAAACGGTTTTAGCTTTTTTTTTTCTTCCAACGATAATTATTGCAAAGCATGAAATGAAACATAACAATGTTGTCCTGAATTATATTAAATACTGCAGTTTTAAATAGTTCACCCCAGTATACAGAACTCCTGAAGTGCCTTTGTTGTTGTTTTTATTTGAGTCAACATAATTTTCCTGCATCTGTAAAATAAAAATGTCAACAATCAGATTTTCTGCAGATTATTGATGCAATGAATTAAAAATAAAAACTTTTAACGGTTTTACTTCCTATTAGATTAACAAGGTTCCTTATCTGAGCTGATGAGTACGAGAGCTCTAAATGTTATTGTTTTAAACTTATCAGTTTATTATCACCCCGACCAGCTGACAGGAACAAACATCAAGATGTTTCCATCATCACAGAAAAAAAAAACATGCAGAAAGTTTCACAAAACATGGTTGTTCAAATTTATGTGAAGAGGAAAGTTTTTATTTATTTATAATGTGTACAAAATATGCAGCCTTTTCCTTTGACCTGCTTCTTCCTGTACGGGTCAAAAGGACCTGAGGTCTGTCTCCAGCAGTCCCTGTGTGAGAGGTGGAGGACACCTCGACAGGTCTACTACAGTCCACAGGGACACATGGACAGGACTCCAGTCATTTTGGACAGAATACCTGTGTGCACGGGGAAAACACATAAATTCCACACAGAAAGATCAGGAGTCACACCTGTAACCTTCTTGCTGTGAGGCGACAGCCATAACCACTACACCACCGTGTCACTCCATTATGTCCTCCTTACAAGAGTCAATAATCGATTTAACTCCTGACTCGTTTGTAACTTTTGTGCACCTCTTCCTGTTTCAGTCTTCCACAATGTTGTTTCTCCATGATGCCGTGTGGTGAGTGATGTAAGCAGGAAGCTGAGAAATAGGAAGTGTCTCTACAGAGAAATTATAAACCTCACCCCTAAACCCTGAGAAGTTTTTATTTGCTTTTGTTTGTTGTCCTGTTCATGACTGGGCATGACCCACATCAGAACAACCATCATCATCAGCGTGGACCCTCACCAGTATGTACTGTATACCGCAAGAGTGGATCAACAGAAGATGCCATCTCCTCTGGTCCACACTGCTCTCACCCACCTGGAGCAGAAGGACTCCTACATCCGTATATTCTTTGTGGACTTCACGTCTGCCTTCACACCATGACCCCCCAAACCCTGATGGACAAACTACTCACACTAGAACTAAGCCCCTCCATTTGCAACTGGGTCCTGGACTTCGTAACAAACAGACCACAGTCTGTGAAGATCCACAACTTCTCCTCCTCCACCATAACCCTCAGCACTGGCTCCCCTCAGGGCTGTGTGTTGAGCCCCCTCCTGTTCACTCTGCTCCCGTACGACTGCGCACAGACCCATCCAGGCTGTCACATCGTAAAGTTTGCAGATGATACAGCGGTGGTTGGATGCATCACAAACAACGACGAGTCCAGCTACAGGCAGGAGGTGGAACACCTGGAGAGCTGGTGCAGAGAGAATAACCTTCACATCAGTGTGAAGAAGACAAAGGAGATGGTTGTGGACTTTAGAAGGAACAAACACACCTACCCCCCACCCCCACCCAAATATAGGAGGATCTGCGGTGAAAGTAGTCTCCAGCTACAAGAACTTGGGTGCGCACCTGAATGGCAACCTCAGCTGGGGCAACAACACCACCAGCCTGATCAAGAAAGCTCATCAGAGACTCTACTTCCTCAGACGGCTGAGGCGAGCTGGTCTGGGAAGCTCAGTCCTCACCTCCTTCTACAGGTGTGCAGTGGAGAGCATCCTGTGCTCCAGCATCAACGTGTGGCATGGAGGCTGCACAGCTGCAGAAAGAAAAGCTTTGCAGAGAGTGGTGAAGGCTGCACAGAAGATGTTGGAGTCAGCCTCCCCACCATCACAGACATCTACACCTCTAGGTGCAGGAAGAGAGCCACCTGCATCATGAAGGACCTCACTCACCCAGCACACACACTTTTTGCCCCACTCCCCTCAGGCAGGAGGTTGAGGAACATTTAAGTGTAGAACCACCAGACTGAGGAACAGCTTCTACCCTGAGGCTGTTAGACTCATTAATCTCTAATTAGGATAATCACTGTGAAAAAAAATATCACTGTAATTCATTCAACCTTTATTTATACAGGTTAATCCCATTGGGCCTTGGGGACTCATTTACAAGAGAGACCTGGTTTTAACAAAGAGCGATGACAACAGTGGACAACAAAGACAACAGTAGACTCATAAAGTAAAGCATACAAATTGAGAAGAACAAGTGAAAGAAAATGGTATTAAAAAGTCAAAATAAAAACAGCTAGGATGCCACTTGATTGTTGATATGTGCTGATCTCATGCCGCTCATTTATTTCATGCTGCTGCGTTCATTCATACTCATCTGCTCACACAGACTCATGTTCGTTCTGCTGTTGTCTGGAGTATTGTTTCTGTACCATTAGTGCTTACTGTATTCTTAGTTTAGCATATTTCTTAGTTAATATCTTAGATATTATTACTGTCTTTCTTTACAATTTATACTTTTGTTGGCTGTAACTGGGACCCTGTGTACACAATTTCGTTCTACCACATGTACCACATGTGATGTGAATGGCAAAGAAACCTTGACCTGTTTGTCACCTAACTGTTAACGTTTGTATCATTAGATTTTCTTCAGCGGGAACCAGGAAACCATTTTCACTGAGCAAGTTATTTTATTTGAATTTTTAAGGATAATTAATCAGCATTTAATTTGTCTGACAAGCAGGAATGGAAAGAACTCAAATAAAAGTGATGTTTTCACCTTTTTCTTTCCTTTAATTCTTCCAGCTGTAACTCTTTCTTTAGCCTCTAGATGGAAGTGTAACAACTCTTATAGTAAATAAAACGCATATTGCAGTAAATACAGTAAGAATTGAAAATTTAAAATGTCTGTTTGATTTTTCTGGTCAGGAAAGTAATGTTTCTGTACATCTGCAGCAAATTTTAACACGAATTATTTCTCTACGTTTATACAGCTTTATTTTATTTTTTTACATCTAACCTTAAATTAGTAGTTGGGCAATTAAAATAAACTGTTGTTTATTTGTGGTTTGGAGATTTAAATCCATAAAACGTGTTTGTTAAAGATCCTGTGTAAAAGTATCTGACTGACCCATCATGTATTCCTCCGCCAACAGAAGTAGTCCCTCTGGGCTGAACATTCGAGGATACAGGAGCTTCAGTGGATTTCTGTGGACCGATGAGACTGAAGGACTTCAGGTGTCCCTTCAGAACCACAGGTTCGTCAGACACAGACACATGGACGCGGTTCTCTCATGGATTCTCTTAAACAGCCGGAAGAAACGTGAGAAGTCTGGTTCCCTCCAGGAGGAGGAGGTCTCGAGCGGTTCGGTGGCAGCAGTTAGGCTCCCGGACCCGACAGGTGTGTTTTTACCTTTTTATCCTCACCGACACCATCCAGAACCAGTCGCTTCATACTGTCGGGTCATTCAGCCCACTGAAACCAGAACCTTTAAACTCCGGTGAAGAAAGGAACTGATGTTCTGTTGGGTCGTGTTCGGCGGAAGTAGGACCAAATAATTCAGCAGTGAGGTGAGACACCTGCGGGACAAAGTCCTCATGGACCCGAGCAGAGACAGAATTTAAAATCTTACAGTGAGTTAGCTGAATTCTGTGATTAATTAATAACTGAGCTGTGATAAGAAGAGGTGGAGATGACGTCATCAGTTTTAGCAGACAGGTAACATCACCTGGAGTCACTCAGGGTCTCTTGATTGGTTCTGAAAACAAGTTTGTTGTTTCAACATCTTGTATTTACAAACGCTGAGCGCTGAAATCTGCTGAATGACTGCTGAAAACAGCTGAAAGCTGCTGAAAACAGCTGAAATCTGCTGAATGACTGCTGAAAACAGCTGAAAGCTGCTGAAAACAGCTGAAAGCTGCTGAATGACTGCTGAAAACAGCTGAAATCTGCTGAATGACTGCTGAAAACAGCTGAAATCTGCTGAATGACTGCGGAAAACAGCTAAAATCTGCTGAATGACTGCTGAAAACAGTGAATGACTGCTGATAAAAGCTCAATGACTGCTGAAAACCGCTAAATTAGCTGAAATCTGCTGAATGACTACTAAAAATTGCTGAATGACTGCTGAGATCTGCTTAAATGACTACTGAAGTCTGCTGAAATCTGCTGAATGACTGCTGACAAGGGCTTAAATTTGCTGAATGACTGCTGAAATTTGCTTAAATCTGTTGAATTACTGCTAAACTGCTCAATGACAGCTGAAAACAGCTGAATGACTGCTGGAATTTGCTGAATGACTGCTGAAAGTGATCCGTCAATCCTTAAAAGAAATGGAAAACTGGCTGAAGAT